AACTGGAGGAGAACAAGGCGGCCTCTGCCTAGGTCAGTAAGCAAGGTAGGTGAGCCAGCGTAGTCCTGTGCAGCCATGGCCCCTGCGTAGATCTCAGCCTCACAGCTGGAGCCGAGAACAGAAGACAAGCGGGTAGACCGCCACGAAACAGAGCCGGAACAAGGCTGAAGGTGTAACCCTGTGACGACCGCTTGCGTAGCCTGGTCGTCAGCCCAAGAAGCGTCTGCGTGACCAGTGAGGACCACTGGACTCCGCCCTCCAAGCACAAGCCCCATGCCCGACGTACTGCACAAGTAGCGCAACACCCTCTTCGCTGCAGCCATGTGCTCTGTCTGTGTCTCCCAGGAGCAACATAGCGTGCCAGAATGCTAAGAGGGTATGCAAGGTCAGGTCGAGTACAGGTCATCAGGTACATGAGGCAGCCAACAAGCTTGGGTACGGGCCACTCGACTCTACGGACTCATCCGAAGGCAGAGCTGAGAGCGAGTGGCGAGTAGACAGAGGAGTGGCCTGAGGCGAGGAGTACGTGAAGCCGAAGCGCTGAAGGACCTGCTGCACCATGTGTGACTGAGTCAGGGTAATGGTGCGCTGTGCTCTATCCCGGGTGATCTGCAAGCCAAGGTAGCTGCGCAGTTCACCTAGGTCTGTGCACGTGTGTCTCTTCTTCACGTAGGCGAGTCCAGCAGTGTCAGCTGTGGCAAAGACCAAGTCGTCGACGTACACGAGGATGTAGAACGGCGGCAAAGAAGTGTCGGTGCGCAGAAACAGCGACGGGTCGGCAGTAGAAGGAGCAAACCCAGAGCCGCAAGTGTAGTCCTCAGTGTGTCGTGCCACTCACGAGGTGCCTGGCGGAGACCGTAGACTGGCCGCCGGAGGCTCCACTGGGTGCCAGGAGGAAAAGTCCCAAGTGAAACCAGGTGGGCGGCGCAGCCAGATCTCCTCGTGCAGGCTGCCCTGCAAGAAAGCAGTGCTGAAGTCAAGAGAGTGAAGCTCGTAGTCACGGTGAGCGGCTAAGTGCAGCAGTACCCGAAGAGTGGTCACCTTCGGGGTGGGAGAGAAGGTCTGAAAGTAGTCAACTCCCTGCCGCTGACTGAAGCCACGAGCCACGTAACGCGCCTTGAAGACAGGCGGAGAACCCGGCGGCCGCTTCACCCTGAAAATCCACATGCCACTGACGATGTTCGCCCCAGGCGGGGGAACCTCGTCAACGTAGGTGCCTGTGGACTTCCAGGAAGCCATCTCTGCGTCCATGGCTGCCTGCCACTGAGAGGAGTAGGGACCCTCTATCGCCTCCGCGTAAGAGCGCGGAGTCGTGATGTCTGGTGCATCCGGGTCTCCCTCAGGGGCAAGTAACATGGACACGAGATGGGGTGAAGCAGCCGCAAGACACTGGAACTCCTCCTGCCTGTCCTCAAGGACGTCCGTGCCAAGAGCACACTCACCCCCGACGGACGGAGGACAGACAGACTCAGACTCAGCGACAAGACTAGCAGCGTAGTCTAGGCGACAGCGAGCAGTGAAGTCGACAAGCTCAGCAACTAGGGCAGACGCAGCAGTGGACTCAATGGAAGGGTCAGTGACTACAGTAGCAAGGAGACGCGTGACAGTAGGACTGGCAGCACGAAGGGAGTCTGACTCAGGGTCAGCAAGAGCAGGAAGAGAGGACTCAGGAGGAGAAGGCAAAGGGGCACGCAGTGGAGCTGTGGAAGGACGCAGAGACATCCGGTGCGTGCCGGGGACAGTGGGGGGACGCTGACGCGAACTACGACCACTAGTGCGAGCAGCACGGACAGGCGACGCAGGGCGAGATGCAGGCTCACGACGCTCAGCAAGACCTCCAGTAGGACCAGTGTAGGGAGAAGGAGCAGGCAGAGGTGAGGTAGGTTGTAACTGCGACTCGGACTGGACAGGCGGTGGACACTCTAAGGGAGGAGCCGGACTAGCAGAGGGCGGAAGGCCAAGAACCTGCTCAAGGAGCGGAACGAAGTACGGCCGCGGCCGCGCAGCACCCCCAGAACCAGCAGGAACAGCACCAGCACCCCCAACTGCAGTACCAGCTCCAGTAGCACCCCCAGCTCCAGCAGCGCCAACTCCAGCACCCTCAGAGGCACCAGCACCAGAAGCACCCTCAGCGCCAACACCCCCTGCAGCTCCAGCTCCAGCCGGACCACCAGAAGACACAGCAGGTCCACCAGCACCAGCACCCCCAGTAGCACCGACGCCCGCAGCACCACCAGCTCCAGTACGAGAAGTACCCGCAGGCCCAGCAGCTCCAGTACTCCCAGTACGAGCACCTCCGGGACCCGCGGCACCAGCACCCTCAGCAGTAGCAGAACCCCCAGTGCCCGCAGCACCTCCAGCTCCAGCAGCACGCCTCCAGCGCCGGGCAAACCACTCTCGCAGCTCCTGTGGAGAGAGTAGCTCCCGCCGGGACGAAGCACCCGAAGAACCTCCAGGCCCAGCACCACCAGGCGCCACACGAGCAGGCCCAGTACCCTCAGACTCCGCACCCCCAGGCGCAGCACCCCCAGGCTCAGCACCCCCAGGCAAAGTACCCCCAGGCTCAGCACCCCAAGGCTCAGCACCCCCAGGCAAAGTACCCCCAGGCTCAGCACCCCGAGTCGTAGCACCCCCAGACTCAGCACCTCCAGGCTCAGCACCCCCAGACCCCGCACCCGCAGGCTCAGCACCCCTAGCAGCACCAGAGTCAACAGCTACCTCGACAGGCTCGACTGCGTCTACCTGGGACACACCTGAGGGGGCAGGACCCTGAGGGGGGAGGGGGTCTACCGGAGGGGGACCTGGCGTAAGGAAGAGCGGCGGGGGGGGGAGGGACGCAGTGCGGTAGGGGAAGAGACGGTAGTAGGGAACCAACTCGTCAAACGTGACGTCCTGGGAGGACAGAACACGGCGCGAGGTGGGGTGGTAGAACTGCCAGCCTGGCGCGTCAGGGGGGAAGCCACGGAAGACGCAGGGAACAGCACGAGGGGACAGCTTGTCCGCAGACAAGTCGCGGACAAACGCCCGAGATCCCCAGACACGGAACGCAGACGCATCGCCAACCTTCCCCGTCCACAGCAAAGCAGGGGAGGTCTCCGGCATGGAAACCCGGGGCTGAAGGTTGATCTGATGCGCCGCGTACCGAACCGCAAACGGCCACAGAAAATGGGGGGCAGCCGCATGGACCATGGACGTACGAGCGACGTCCATGACCATGCCAATGCGGCGCTCAGCAATCCCATTTTGCTGTGGAGATGCCGGAAGCGTGAAAGTCTGGCGGATGCCTCGTGCGCGACAGAAGGCTCGCAGAAGGTCAGAGGAAAACTCTCCGCCTCTGTCGGAGTGCAGGCGCAGAACAGGAAAGTCCGAGCCAAAACTCTCTCTGAGCTGGAGACGAGCTGCGCGGATCCAGGCGATCAACACCTCAGTCACCTCACCCTTGCGGCGCAAGGGGAAGACCGTGGTGTAGCGCGAGTAGTCGTCAACCACCAGCAGGAAGTAACGCTCGTGACCCTGTCCACGGACGCGGGCTGGGCCCCACACGTCCATGTGAAGCGTCTGCAGCGGAGCCTCTGTCGGAGGGAACTCGGAGGAGTGAGGAGCAGCGCGCTGCCGCCCCTCGACGCAGGGAACGCAGGTGGGGGCAGGCCCCGGAGGAAGGGGAGGGAGGGACCGGGGGAGACCAGAGACAAGGACACGGGAAGCCATGCCTCGAAGACGAGGCAGGGAGGGGTGACCAAGGCGGTGGTGCCAGAGGAGAGTCTGGTGAGACAGGAGACGACACGAGCAGGGGGCAGACTCAGGGCCAGACCTGGACGCCGCAGCAAACACCCGACCCGACGCGGCTACCTGAGCAGACTCAGCGACTGGAGGAGACTCAGTAGTCAGTGTGTACAGGCTCGACCCCGGCCGACGGGTAAACGTGGCCAAGTGACGGCCCGTCCGAGCACAGGTACAGTGGGTCGCTCGCTGACTCGCAGGAGTGAACTGGTGAACCCCTGCATCCTGGAGGTCAGCACCACTCACCAAGTTCGTAGAGAACGAGGGGAGGTAAAGACCTGACAGGGTGCCAGAAGGGGCCGCCGGACACTGTAGGACAGTGGAGAAGCGGGCAAGGACAGGACCCCCAGAGGGGTCTGCCAGGGAGACTGCCACTGGCCGACTAAGCGGCGTGAGTGTGGTGCGGTCTCGAAAGAAGGAGCGGGAAGCACCCGAGTCAAGGGTGAAGGTGTGGGTGGCCAGAGCCGACGCGGTACCTGAGAGCGCAGACTCACTAGCACCTGGGGCAGCAGACTCACTGGCACCTAGAGCAGCAGCCTCACCAGTACCTAGAGCAGCAGCCTCACCAGCACCTAGAGCAGCAGCCTCAATGCCCGGGTCAGGCGGAAAACACCGGTAACAGTCACCCTCATCACTAATAGTCACAGCATACATGGCAGCAAGAATAGCATCATAATCAAGATCAAAGATCGCAACACCCGCCCTAAACAGCTCGCCCCAGCGAGGGATCTCAGTAGCGTCGGGGAACTGGTGACGCCAAGCGTCCGTCAGACGGCCGAAGCAGCGCTGGGTGGAGTGCGGACCCCCACACTGCTCACCCGCGCGGTCGCCGATACGGAGAACGTAGGTACAGGGGCCAGCACCCCCACCCCGCTGACGAGCAGTGTACCACTCACGAAGCTGCTAGGGGGAGGGGGTCTCACGAGTGCGCTGCTGCTGCTGCTGCTGGCGCTGACCACCACCGGAGCCGACCCTCTGCGTAGAGCCGCCCCGACCAGCTCCACCTCCGCCGCCGCTACCTCCACCACCGCCTCCACCTCCGCTACCTCCGCTCGCACCGCCACCACCGCTGCCTCCTCCGCCTCCACTGCTGCCACTAGTGCCCCCACCCCCGCCACCACTCCCACCTCCACCCCCACCCCCTCCTCCGCCTCCACCGCCTCCTCCACCGCCCCCGCCAGCTCCTCCAGCTCCCTTGCCGCCCTTGCCCTTGCCTGAGCGGCGTCTCCCGCTAGGGGCAGACGCCGCGCCGACCGACTCAAGACCAACGAGGTCGGCCGCAGCAGCAGAGGCAACAGAGGGCAAGAGGGGAGAGGGGGAGCACCCCTCAAAGACAGGGGTACGAGGGTCACCACGGGAGGCTCCTACAGCGACTATACTCTTCTCTGCTGCTAGGAGGCGCTCCTCGAGGAGGTCAACGGTGAGAGTGGTGGGGCAGACAGAGAGGAAGTGGTCCCTAACTGAACGAAGGGTGTCAGGGAGCCGGGTGACTATGTAGTAGAGGGTGATGTACATAGGGGGGGGGGTTCTTGGCGCAGAACTCAGCTGGAAGCGCAGCGCGGTAGCGAATGTCACTAGTGTGAAGGTGCGTAATGAGGTCAGCGAATGTGGGAAAAGCGGCGAGGTCAGGGAAGAGGTACGGCAGTATGAGGCGGCTAAGAGCAGCAGTGGCAGGGGAACAGTAGCGTGCAACTACAGCGTCGTACAAGGTCTTAGCACTCTTGTACTGACTAAAATGCGCACGCTCAGCGGTCGGTAAGTGGCGGCGCACAGCAAGGCGGGCAGCAGCATCGCGCGTGGCCCACTGTGAGCGAACAGTGGCGTCAGCATCAGCAGCAGGGGCAGGGGAGGCACGAGAAGTGAGGTCAAAGAGGGAGAGACCGTCTGCCCTATCGCACTGTAGGAAAAGCTGCAGATCATCTACCCAGACCTCAAAGTCAACAGCCCGACCCTCAGCGTCAAAGGTGAGAACACTAGGGGTGGCCATGACAGCAGTAGAGAGGCAGTGAGCACAGTGGGTTAGGGCAGTGCAGTGGTAGAGGCGCTGCTCTTACCAGGCAAGTGAGGCGTTCCGGGGCAGGCTGGTAGGCGGCGGCGTCTCAGCTGCAGTGCGGCTCGGTGGCTCGGCGGCTCGGCGGCTCGGCTACTCGGCGGCAACGGCGGCTCGGCGGCTCGGCGGCAACGGCGGCTCGGCGGCTCGGCGGCAAAGGCGGCTCGGCGGCTCGGCGGCAAAGGCGGCCCGGCAGCTCGGCAGAAAGTGCGGCTCGGCAGCACGGCGGCACGGCGGCAAGGGGCGGCGACGGGGCCGCGGAAGGGCGGCTACGGGGCCGCTGAAAGGGCGGCGACGGGGCCGCTGAAGGGGCGGTGACGGGGCCGCTGAAGGGGCGGCGACGGGGCCGCTGAAAGGGGCGGCGACGGGGCCGCTGAAAGGGGCGGCGACGGGGCCGCTGAAAGGGCGGCGACGGGGCCGCTGAATGGGCGGCGACGGGGCCGCTGAAGGGGCGGCGACGGGGCCGCTGAAATGGTGGCGACGGGGCCGCAAGGGCGGCGTGACGAGGCCGTGAAGGGGCCGCGAGCGGCTGTAAGGGGCCGCGAGGGCGGCGCGACGGGGCCGCGAGGGGCCGCGAAGGGGCCGAGAGGGCGGCGCGACGGGGCCGCGAGGGGCCGCAAAGGGGCCGCGAGGGCAGCGCGACGGGGCCGCGAGGGGTCGCAAAGGTGCCGCGAGGGCGGCGCGACGGGGCCGCGAGAGGCCGCTAAGGGGCCGCGAGGGCGGCGCGACAGGGCCGCGAGGGGCCGCTAAGGGGCCGCGAGGGCGGCGCAACGGGGCCGCGAGGGCGGCGCGACGGGGCCGTTAGGGGCCGTGAGAGGGGCCACAGGGCGCGACTCGGGCAGGGGCTAAGCGCCCTCCGGGCAGGAAAAAGAAAAACTCGCTATTCGGTGGGCCCTAGGAACAGTTCCCACGAGGGAACCTGCTCGATACCATGTGAAGATTGGAACGAGAATGATTGCATTGAGCAGCATGAGGAGTACAAGTACCAAACCCTAAAGTGTTGTACCCCATATAAGCTACCCCACTACAGCCTACACAGACTATAGCATATGAGTTTGACATAGCACGCGTGTGTGTAGGTACAACGCGGAGCTGGAACTCTGAAATCTCCCAAACTATGTGGATCGGAAAGGTTATAACCTAGTGTTGTTGAAGTAGAAGGCCTAATCTAGTGGACTGGCAAGAATATTGCACTAACTGCATCTCTACAAACATACGTAATGCGCTAGTCAGTTTGGTCGGTATGCGCACCTGTAGTGCAGGTACCACGTACGACTGGAATGTCTATATATGCCACAATACCTAGATCCGATAGGTTATAACATGGTAGGGGGGTGGAAAATGGTATAATTGAAAGGAAATCGGAATACATATGGTATTCGATGTATTTGTACAGAGAGAATAATGCGTCGACCAATAAGGTCAGTATGCACGCTTGTGTGTAGGAACAAGGCGGAGCTGGAACTCTGAAATTTGCCAAACTTTGTGGATCGGAAAGGTTATAACCTAGTGTTGTGAAAGTAGAAGGCCTAATCTAGTGGACTGGCAAGAATATGGCACTATCTGCATCTCTACAAACATACGTAATGCGCTGGTCAGTTTGGTCGGTATGCGCGCCTGTAGTGCAGGTACCATGTACGACAGAAATGTCTATATATGCCACATTACATAGATCCGATAGGGGATTAACTTAGACCCCCCCGGATTAACTTAGACCCCCCCGGATTAACTTAAACCCCCCCGGATTAACTTAGACCCCCCCGGATTAACTTAAACCCCCCCGGATTAACTTAGACCCCCCTGGATTAACTTAGACCCCCCATAATTAACTTAGACCCCTCCTGGATTAACTTAGACCCCCCCGGATTAACTTAGACCCCCCCAGATTAACTTAGACCCCCCCAGATCAACTTAGACCCCCGCGGATTAACTTAGACCCCCTTGGATTAACTTAGACCCCCCCCGATGAACTTAGATCCCCATGGATTAACTAAGACCCCCCCGGATTAACTTACACCCCCCCGGATTAACTTAGACCCCCCCCGGATTAACTTAGACCCCCCCAGATTAACTTAGACCCCCCCGGATTAACTTAGACCCCCCCGGATTAACTAAGACCCCTCCGGGATTAACTTAGACCCCCATGGATTAACTAAGACCCCCCCCAAATAAACTTAGACCCCCCCAGACCCCCCCGGAATAACTTAGACCCCCGTGGATTAACTTAGACCCTCCTAGATTAACTTAGACCCCCCCGGTTTAACTTAGACCCCCCCGAATTAACTTAGACCCCCCCAGATTGACTTAGACCCCCCGGATTAACTTGGACCCCCCCGGATTAACTTAGACCCCCCCGGATTAACTTAGACCCCCCCGGATTAACTTAGACCTTTTCGGATTAACTTAGACCCCCCCTGGATTAACTTAGACCCCCCAGGATTAACTTAGAACCCCCCGGATTAACTTAGACCCCCCTGGATTAACTTAGACCCCCCTGGATTAACTTAGACCCCCCAGGATTAACTTAGACCCCCCCGGATTAACTTAGACCCCCATGGATTAACTTAGACCCCCCGGATTAACTTAGACCCCCCCGGATTAACTTAGACCCCCACGGATTAACTTAGACCCTTCCGGATTAACTTAGAACCCCCCGGGATTAAGTTAGACCCCCCCGGATTGACTTAGACCCCCCTGGATTAACTTAGACCCCCCCGGATTAACTTAGACCCCCCCGGATTAACTTAGACCCCCCCCGAATTAACTTAGAACCCCCCGGATGAACTTAGACCCCCCTGGATTAACTTAGACCCCCTCGGATTAACTTAGACCCCCCCCGGATTAACTTAGACCCCCCGGGATTAACTTAGACCCCCCCGGATGAACTTAGACCCCCCTGGATTAACTTAGACCCACCGGATCAACTTAGACCCCCCCGGATTAACTTAGACCCCCCCGGATTAACTTAGACCCCCCAAGATTAACTTAGACTCCCCTGGATTAACTTAGACCCCCCCGGATCAACTTAGACCCCGTCGGATTAACTTAGACCCCCCTTGATGAACTTAGACCCCCATGAATTAACTTAGACCCCCCTAGATTAACTTAGACCCCCCCGGATTAACTTAGACCCCCCCCGGGATTAACTTAGACCCCCCCGGATGAACTTAGACCCCCCTGGATTAACTTAGACCCCCCGGATCAACTTAGACCCCCCCGGATTAACTTAGACCCCCCCGGATTAACTTAGACCCCCCCAGATTAACTTAGACTCCCCTGGATTAACTTAGACCCCCCCGGATCAACTTAGACCCCGCCGGATTAACTTAGACCCCCCTGGATGAACTTAGACCCCCATGAATTAACTTAGACCCCCCTAGATTAACTTAGACCCCCCCGGATTAACTTAGACCCCCCCGGATTAACTTAGACCCCCCCGGATTAACTTAGACTCCCCTGGATTAACTTAGACCCCCCCGGATCAACTTAGACCCCCCCGGATTAACTTGAACCCCCCGGATTAACTTAAACCCCCCTAGGTTAACTTAGACCCCTCCGCTTTAACTTAAACCCCCCTGGATCAACTTAGACCCCCCCGGATGAACTTGGACCCCCCCCCCCCAGTTTTACTAAGACCCCCCTGGATTAACTTAGAACCCCCCGACCCCCCCGGATTAACTTAGACCCCCCTAGATTAACTTAGACCCCCCCGGATCAACTTAGACCCCCCCCGGATTAACTTAGTCCCCCCGGGATTAACTTAGACCCCCCCGGATTAACTTAGACCCCCCCATTAACTTAGATCCCCCCGGATTAACTTAGACCCCCTCGAGATTAACTTAGACCCCCCTGGATTAACTTAGACCCCCCTGGATTAATTTAGACCCCCCAAATTAACTTAGACCCCCCCGGATTAACTTAGACCCCCCCCCGAGTTAACTAAGACTCCCCTGGATTAACTTCGACCCCCCCGACCCCCCCGGATTTGCAGGGATAACTACTACAACGGGAGCTAGACTACGGGCTAGGCACGGGTGCTCGTGTGATCTCTGCGTTCGTTGGTCCTTAGTCGTTTTCCTAGTGCACACACTGCTTGCTAGTTCACGGGGCAAATTGGCAAGAGTTTCACTAGAGAAAGTTGACAACAATGGTACAAAGAAGTTGGCATGACAAGACTACATCAGAGCAAGCATTCAGGTCAGTCGACTGCCAGCGCAGCATGGTCGACCGCGTTCCAGCACGACTTGGTCGACCGCGCTCCAGCAGTGCAAAGTCGACGGCGTGCCAACGTCGCAGGTTGACGGCATGCCAGTGCTGCTCATGCGGAACAGCTACGCACCCGCTTCACAGGTGCTCGCAGATGATTGAAGGGCTGAGCCTCGTCACCTGCACAACGCACACACCAAGTCATCCTTGTGCTGATGACTCCACCTGATCCGCCATGTCGACCTCGGGATACCACCACCGAGGTCGGGCTCGCCAACTTCGCCTGGGCGACCGTCGCACTTCTCCGCAGAACCTCGTCACCCAGGTAACCTGGTCGACCGGGCAACCACGTCGACCAGCTACTCCCGTACGTGCCCGTCGACCTCCCAAGTCGACGGCCACCTCCAGTCGACCTCACCAAGTCGACCACACCCTTGGTCGACCAGCTCCAGGTCGACGTCACTTCTGGTCGGCCAGCTCCACGTCGACCAGCACTCCTGGTCGACCAGCTCCATGTCGACCAGCGCAGTTGTCAGCCGACCACCCAAGTCGGCTACCCGAAGTCGGCGTCACCAAGTTGACGCCCAGCTATTCAACGCCCAACTGCTCGGCGTCCTGAGTCGAGGTCGACTTCGGCCCCTCCTTCATCGACCACCAGGTCAGGTCGGCCACCAGCAGGTCGACCAGCAGTCCGTCAGCCGACCACCGAAGTCGGCTGCCCCAAGTTGACG